TTATATTAAAACTGAAGAGACATTTTTTTTTTTTTTGTCAGCAGCAGTGAAAGGTCAGCAATAAATCTTCAAGGTTTCTGTTATTTCCATATTTGTGCAATGTGGTGATGTCCTGCCACTGCGTTTAGATGTCTTTGACACTATGTCATGAATTATTCTCCTCTTTTTATTTCCTGACAGTTTCGAGTGTTCACTGCTCCCTTCCACAAGGTAGGCTTCGCAGATTTCTGGCTGGCTGATCAGCTCAACAGCCTGGTGGTGATACTCATGGATCTGGAATACATGATCTGCTTCTACAGCTTTGAGGTTCAGTGGGAGGACAATGCGGGACTTCTGGCGAATACAGGTAGAGTAATGGTGGCAACCCATGCAGACACAGTCAAAGTGACCTGAAAAACACTGAGCCAGGAACCTTCATAATCAGCTGTTTTGAAGAGGGCTACCAGAGATACAGGAAATTAAATAATTGGCGTTTCTTGTAAGCATAGCATTAGAGAGATTCTGCCCTTTCTTACTTCCATCCAGAGAAATGGAATTTTGCATCTCCGTGTTCATTTCCTAATCCAGTCATTTGGCCTGATGTGTACATTCATCAAAGAATTTAGACACAGCACTTCTTGATTGGAGGGAGAAATCCATTTGCCTGGCACTGTAGTTTTATTTCATGGTGGATAACCATGTTTTGCTTTTAGCCTGTTCCTGTTGCTCAGCATGAAAACGAGTTGCATGAGCTTGTTAACCACAATTTGCTGTTCTGTAGCCTGCTTCTTACAGTCTCCGTCATAGTACCCTGAAGCAAGAGAGGATGGAGAAACTTCCTCAGAGCTTGTTAGTGCCACCCCTTATTCAATCAGACTTGATGCTGTGACAGTGGGGTTGTGCGTGCTCTGCTGCTTCTCTCCTTTCTAGCCAGAAAAGTCACAGGCCTAGCATATGAATTTTGACCTTGGCATTCCCAGTGGCAAAATAGTACCTGTCTCCTCCTGGATTGGGCTGTTGTCTTTCCATTGGAAGTAGTGACTGGTAGCAAATTGTGCTGTCTGCTGGCTTTGACACTTGCTGAAAGAATTTGCAGTATGCTTCAATAAGCATCAGTGTTCACTTTGTTCTTCCAATCTGTCAGATCCTTCTCTTCCCTTTAAGACAGTGATGCAAGCAAAAATTTATTAAAAATACAAATAAATAAAGCAACTGAGTGTATAACACCTTGTCCTCTTCCAGTCCAAACCATAGAACGATAGTGGAATGCTTTGGCATAAATACCAGCTAATATCTTGTCTCCATTAATCTGAAAAAGAAACAAATGTTTGTTAGTCAGTGGGGAGTTTGGTTCAGATGTGCTGAACAAGACAGTGTAAGAGCACAGCATGCTCAGGGGTCCCAGGCAAAGCTGGGGTTTTCCTAGTCATTTCCTCAATAAAAAGAAGGCTTTCAAAATCAGAGGTGGGACACAATGTCATGTTGGTGTAGCTGCCTCTTTGCCCCAGTTGTTGAAGTCAGCGCTATGCCCTGGCTTTTCTTTTAAAACAAACAAAAAAAACAAGCACATACTGAAATATGTTTTTTCCTATTATAACAACAAGAAAATACTATAATATACAAGAAAAATGTGTCAAGGACATCTTAGGCAACACAACTGTTTGAGCTGTCCTGCAGAGTTTGGAAATGCTCTCCCATTTATGCACAAAAATTCAGTATTGAAGGCCTTTTGTAATTCCATCCTTAATTTGATTATTCACAGTACTGCCAACAGCACAAAATGAATTAAAAAATAGATTACTTCTAATCTTCCTGCATGTTAATTGTACTGGCAGCAGTGAAAGAGCTAGATGGTGATTTGTCTTGATGTGTTATTGATGTAATGTCACCTGAATACCTCTGAGATGGAGCAAAAGGCTTCAGGATACTTTCTGGTGATGAACTGCTTGCTGTTCTGGATGCGTGTGTGCCGAAGCATGAAGCACTGATGGGGAGTTGCTGTTGTGTCAAGTGACATTGTTCTTACAGAAAGGAAGACAATAAGAGTTCTTAAACTTACTGACTGTGTCCCTGAAACTTTTTTCTTGCAGATAATCAGATTTGTTACAGCTACTCCTACGGAGTGAGAGCAGTTGTCCAGTGCATCCCTGCTTGGTTGCGATTCATCCAGTGCCTGCGCCGTTACCGTGATAACAAACGGGCCTTTCATCTGGTTAATGCTGGAAAATATTCCACCACCTTCTTCGTGGTGACATTTGCAGCTCTCTACAGCACTCACAAAGGTATTGGATAGTTTGGAAAATCCTTTCATATCATGGGGTTTGGCTTTTATGTGGGAGAAGCTCAGAATTTGGCATCCCATTGAAGCATGAACTTTTGTCTGTTGGCACCTGTGAAACATCTCAGTGGAAAGGCAAAGATGTTGAAAAGACAATTTTAAAACCTTTTAGGTATTTTTCACATGGCTGGTGTGCTTAGAACTGCACTTCTGTAGTGTGAGAGAGAATTTTCAGATTTCTCTCTCAACAGGAGAAAACAGAAATGCCTGTCAGATTTTGCTGCAAAGGGAGGTGGAATGGGAGATGTATACAGAAAGAGATAACATAGGAAATACTTCTCCCTTGGCGTTCATGAATAGCTAACCTGGATCATCTAAACAAGGTCTGTCCATCATTCCTGAATGTGTGAAGGTGTGCACAGTGCTGGGAAAACGTTCACTCTGGGTTCTCCTGTGTGTTTTTATCCAGGTTTTTTCTGCAGCTAGTAGGGAGTTGTTTCCAATCCATTTAACTGCAGATTGAGCTCTGATCCCTGAAGTTCCCCATCTCCCTGGAAACGACAATTACTTGATTCTGCTCTTGTTCTGAAGGAAAAAGCTTTTAGTTTCTGCACTTCAGGCAGTCGCCCTGCCTTTCATTGTTCTGAAGTCCTAAAAGCTGTGTTCTTTTATTTGAAAATATATACTTTCTATATCTTCAGAAATTAGCCTCCACACACACTCGTGATCAATTATTCTGAAATATGATTGTGATAGGGCAGGGAGAAGTGTTCAAGGCATGTTTCTAGTAACATGCTGGTTTTGTGGAGGGGCGGCAGAACTATTAGAAACCTTCCTGTGGCCACAAAATGGCTGTTTTGATGTAAGTGGGCCCGAAGTCACCCCCGATACCATTTCTTAGACTTTGCATTTTAATGGCAGAGAAGTGCATTGGTGCAAGCTGGCTGAAGGCTGCAACCTGGGCACTTTGCATCTGGAGGGACAGGCAGCCTTGGCCTGGGAGCATCTGTGGTGGGTACAGTGCCTGGCCCCTCTGTGCATCTCCTCCCCACTGCCACATCCCTGGAGCTTGTTCCCGGTTTAACTTGTTTGCTCGGTGACATTCTGCAGCTCTTCAGTTCTAGCCCTGCAGTCCAGTTAGTCACCACCACCAAACCCTGAGATGAGACAAATAGGGAGTGCCTGGCTGTAGTCACTGCTTATATGCTTTTATATACAGTGCTTGCTCTGGGGTGGTTGACTAATCTTACTCCTTCCCGGGGGGGAGGGGGGTACACACACTCTGGCAGAGCCTTCCCTGGGAAGGTCAGAGTGAATTTGGAGCCAAGAGGAAAACCAGCATCTCTCAAAATGTCCTGCTGAAGAATCTGACCTCTTTCTGCTCCCCTTGAAGCTTGCATCTGTGCCAGTACCCCTGACCCTTGTCCTTGTGTCTGCCCATACATAACTGTTTGCTCTTCAAGTCTGGCAGGGCATGGGTTGTAATGAGGTGTTTATGAGCCGGGCACGGGGCTTGTTCCAATTGCTGAGAGATGTTCATGACTCCCAGCTTTTGTCCGCCCAGTTTTGTCAGTGGGAGTCAATACCATGTAGTTGTTGGTATCATACAAAAAAATGTAGATGCTTAGTGTCCTTTGGAAATTACACATTAGCATGGATTTTGGAAATGTCACGGTGCCTGGGCTTGTATCGATTTTTCAGAGGGCTGCTGAAACACCTTGCTGTGTCTCAGCTGTGTAAGTCTGCTCTCATCCTGCCATAAACACACTTTCTAATAGGCTGTACCTGTTAAGAATCCAATTTTATCTGAGTGCTTTACATAGTTCCCAGTTCTTTTGGAATGTGGCATCAGATGGTCTACCATCAAGTTGTTATGATGTTATTGTTGAAAATAGATGCACTGCTCGCCTACACCTTCTGTGTGTCTGCCGAAGGGTAGCAGAGACAAACACCCATCTCTTACCTACAAAACATCTGTTGGGGGCAAGCTACTTGCTTCTGAGAAGGAAAGCACTGCCCAAAGCAAGTGAAAAATTAGTAAAGCTCCTTGCTTCTCACACCTGCTCTAAATTGCGCTAAAGAACCTGTTAATTGCTGTGTTAAGAAGAGCTTTATTTAAACGGTCTTTCATGCCTGTGTGTGGAAGCCTATGACTTATGCCTCTGGAATGACAGCTTTTGGCTGCCAGGAAAGGAGGGTGATTGGTGGCCTTTTCTTGGGAGGTCAGGTAATGTACACCGGCGCCTGGTCTCCACTTGGGACTCGTGGGGACATCACAGCTCTCTGGAAAGGCTGGTCTTCCTTCCTTGATTTGCAGATGGAATAACTTGTGGCTACTCTGTAGGTTTTTACCTTGCGTCTGCTAACTGTGTGAAAATGGACTGTGTGGCCGGGAGGGTGTGTTGGCATTGAAAGCTAATTCATACAGAGTGTACTTACAGCGTTCTTGTGCTGTTTCCTTGTGCTTGCTGGCAAACAAATGTATAAATGCCACCTTACTATGTTTAAGTGATGTATGCTGCCTCTAGTTACATGTGGTACTCCCTTCTCCAAATTCCATGTGGTGAAAGATTCCCCCCAGTGACACAGTGTACTGTGGGCTGTTGATGAGTATCTGTTTTCCCAAAGTATCACTGTTTAATAATTCATATTGCTCGGGTGGTGCATAATTCTGATTCTACCCTTGGAGAAGACATTCCTTCAGATTTCTTCCTTTTAATTTAGATGCAGAAAGCAATTTTCTCTGCTAATTGCAGTTGGGATGTTAGACGGGTAAGCTACCAAAGTAAATTCTGTTACATTCTCTCTCCCAAACTTGTAATCGTCTTGTCCTGGGACAAGACTACTTTTACAGAGTTAACTTGAAGCTATCATCCTGCTGTTGAGGTATCATCTGGATTAGTGAAGCTGAGCTGAGAGCAGCTACCCCACAGCAGAAGACAGTGGAGCAGGCAGTGGTTGGGTGGCCAGCCGCCGGCTTCACCACGGCTCAGGGTCGGAACCGCGCCGCAGGGGCGGCAGCAGCAACCCAAGGGCAGCTGTTGCTGAGCTCCCAAAGGGAGAATGCTCAGTGGTTTTATATCTCTCAAAGGAACGGGAAGCAAAGGCTGCGTCCTGTAAATACAGCCCTGCGGGGCGTGTTTGTGCAGGCAAATGAGGCATGTCTGTAACTCTGAGCTACCTAGCAACCCGAGCGCCCAGCACCGCTGGCCAGCAACCTCTGTCCCTGCAAGGCTCTTTCCTACTCTTGCTTTGCACTGAGTAGTTCAGCGCCAGCATTGACTTCCCTGGCAGTGCTGAGCAGCTTTCCCCAGAGCTAGCCAACTGAATATTCTATTGCCTTATACAATCCCTGCCGAAACCTACGTGGTGCTAGGGAAACAAATTATTAAGCCAGAGTCTGCAGCAGAATATTTACGCCAAGTGCGGTGTTGTTCTGACTCACCACTACTTTTTGCAGTTTTCACTCTGCCAAGAGCAGATGTGCTTTCACTGACAGATGCACCAGTGTACCTGCTTCCACTTCACTCCAGCTTATTGTAACATTCCACGGGGTTCCCCTCTGTTGTAATGTGTACTTGCATTTAAGAAGGTATGCTGACGTTCCAGCCTTGGTTTCATTCCTCACTCAGACCTGGTTCAGGCTCTGTGCGGTAAGATTGTTATATTTAGTTGTTCGGATCTTGGGAGAAACATTGCAACACTGGAGTTGTGTTGTACTACTCCGAGTGCTGCTTGCTTCTTAAGCTGTATGCGTGATTTATGCTCAAACTTTGTTCTTTGTAAAATCAGATGCATCTTGGTTTTGCTAATGTCTGTCAATTTTCTCTTCTCTTGATGTCTTTTACTCACACGGTATTAGTGGAAATACCTGACTTACATATAATACAGATTTGTCTTCTGCACTTGAACTGAGCTTCTTGAGTACTTTGTACTCTTCCATCATTTTATTGTTCTGTGGGATTTGCTGTTTCAGCATGAGCATTTCTGCATTTACCTTGTTTTTTTTTCAGGAATGTGTTACTGAGTTTAAGCACAAATACTGGCTTAAAATTAGCTATGTGAGTTTTTATCCTTTAGCTGAAGGGAAAGATGGTTTATGCAAGTTTTCATGGTCAGTTTAATTTACGCACTATGGTCAATGAAATCCTTGTGGTCTGGGTAGTATCCAGCTATTTATTAACCTCTGAATTATTCCTAAATTAATCCATGTGGCCTGAAAACTTGAGTGAACTTCTATTCCATTCTAATACCCTTTCTAAGGTACTACAAATAAGACTGAACACGGGCTGGCATTGGCTTGGAAGTGCCATAGGTCTGTCTAAGATAACGTAACTGTTACATACTTTCTCATTAAACAGCCCAGGAAATTGACAGTAATTAAAAATACAGAAGTTAACTAAATAGGGCTGTCTCCTAAGAGTTGTGCTTCTGCTCTTTTCATCGCTTCAGAAACAGGCTTCTCTGATAAGTCATATATAAATTGGTTTTCTTTTTAAAGCCAGAGAAAAAACTGTGAAATTCTTTGCTTTGTCAGAGAATAGAGACGTGAACTGTCAAGGCAGGAGTCATCCTTTGATTAATGGGCTTTTGCAGGAAGGTGTTGGACCATCCCTTGCCAATAGAGAAGTTCCACCAGATCTGACCAGGTGAAGATGAATGGGAAACGTGCTGATTTTTGAAAACACAGTGGAAGATTCCCAGGTCTTGTAACTGCTGCCCACTCCTTATTAATCATGATGGCTTTGGCTGCTACCAGTGGTGATACTGGCTGGTGTGGCCAACTGCCTGCTGGGACAGGTCGCTGGTTCTCCCATGGTCTGTCCCACCACAGCTCCCCTTGAGAGGGCTGTAACTTTCAGATGAAGGGTGGTGATGCACAGCAAGAATGGGGAGAGGATGGTGGTAATATTGCAGTGTTGCACTGGGAGCTGCAGGAGGACACCTGACTGCACCTTACCTCTGCTCCTCTCTGCCAGCTGAAGAACTGGAAAGTGGGTTGTG